ATCTTCGTCAAGCCAATCAAAACCCTCCTCGCCGAAAGGCTAGCGAGAGCCACGAGCGACGCCCGTTGAGGCTGTGAAGCTCGGGCTACGAGCCATCCCGCCCTTGATCGAAGAGATGCCAAACTATGTACCTTTCCGCGCAGACAGCTGCCGACGACTACCTCTTGCAAGATTTTCCGAGGTTTCCCACATCGGGGCCCCCTTCTCCATGTAGCAACGAATAACAACAGAACCCCACTCGCTGGTCCAGCGAGTGAGTACAAGTAAATGGTGCAAACCTTACACCATGCGGCGGTCGGACTGTCCGTCCATCCATTGCGACTCTGGGAGGAACTTGGGAACTTGATTGACTGCCTTTTGATTGACCTGCAAGCGGATGGGCTGCGCATCCCAGGGGACCCCTTCCACTGCTCCTCTAGCTCTTTCCCCTCACTCTCGCATCTTGCTCTCCTACTCACCTCTCACTGCGCCTCTGAGCCCTTCTTTCTTTCACTCTCACCTACCTTCATTCTCGCCTGGTCTTGCCTCGTTCCATTTTCATTCATTCCTTCCTGCCCCTCGAGGGCATCAACTGGCCTTCCGCTCCTGCCCCTCACTTGCTGCACTACCTCGTCCACGTTCAATTGTCGTTCACTTCTTTCCACCCATGCTCACACAGTATTCTTAGTCACTTTGATTTCGATACCGACCTTCACTTTCTTTTTAGAGCTTATCTGTCGTTTGCATTTCCACCTCACTCTCGGCTCCCTGCCATCAACCGGCTTGCTCAGCGGCCTTCAATTCCTTTCCCTTTTCTCTTGAAAGGCATTGGCCGGGTTCGGGTTGAACTCTAGGCGGCTGATTGGCGACATCCTCTCCCCCGTGCAGGTTCATCTCATCTCAATCTCCTTCGTCATCTCCATACGGCATCACTCCGTAATCACGCCCGCCCATTATGAATCACAGCCAACAGAACCAACACCCGTCAATCGAGATTGACGGCGCAGCATATCCCTCCGACTCAAACTACTCCCCGGCCAACCACCTTTCCAGCTCCATCATCAATGCCGCTTACCCGTCAGACTCGTCCTACCGGCCCTCGGACCCAACCATGCCTACCGACGACAAGCTCGCCATGCCCAACGCCCGCTATTCCCAGTCGTACAACACCGGCTCCGGCGCAAGTAGCAGCAGCAACAATAACAACAACAGACAACTAGTCTCCCCCTCATACCCCCCCAGCGCCGCCCAATCGCCCCTGGGCTGGGCTCATTCGCCAACTCACGACCCGTTGCTTGGCCACTACTCGCCCGCGCGTAGTCCGGTAACCCCATGGAGCCCGGACGGCATGTCCGCCGCGAATCCCAACCTGCCCCCGCCGCCGCCGTATGATGCCTCGAGGACGAGCACTGGCACGAACTCCCCCACGCCTCGAGACCATGTGTCGCCCAACTCCTCGGAGCGCGCCCTGCTCGGATCGCAGCAGCCTCACCAGCAACGGAACGCGGCGCGTCCCCCAAGGCCTCAGAGCACCCACTTCGAAGCGCCACAGCATTCGCCTGCGCCAGCGGAGGCGCATGTCGCGGGTGCGCCGCCGGAACAAGGGGAACGGGGCGCGCCGCATACATACTTGCAATCTATGACGGGCGGTATGCCGGCCTATGGTAACAACCCTGGACAGCTTGGTCCCGTGGCGCAAGCGAGACGGCGGCGGAAGGTGAAGCTCGGCATTCTCGTCGGTGTTCTTTGCGCCGTTCTGTTGTTTCTGGTCGCCTTGGTGTTGGGTATCTTGCTCGGCGTTGTCAAGTTGAACAAAGACGAGAAGTTCGTACCTCCGCCGCCTCCGCCACCTCCGCCGGGCTTTGGGGACTTTGGGGGCTCTTAAGGAGTGCAAAAAATGACGCTAGCCTGAGAGAAGGCGACTTTGTCAGGCGGCCTGGTCTTCTTTCCCGCGGCTTCTGGACAGCATCATTTCACCGATACCCCACTATTGTATTCTCTCTCATTTTTCTGTTTTTTTTTCTTCTCTCTCTCTCTTTGTATCCATTATCAGACACTCCATGGATTTGCTGATTTAGACCATTCGAGCGTCGCCGAGGCTAGAGGAACGAGACACGAGATTCCGGTGTTTAATGTTATTGTGAACATACAGAACGGAGTACAGTCATACGAGCAAACGAACGGAAGGGGCAGAGCGCTGGTTTGTATACTACCGGTCTCAATATTGAAAACAAGGGTCGGGCTACTGAGAAGGCCGACTATGAGATAAAAACGATATGAAGCGCCATTACAAAACGTCGTATGAATTCTTTTTATCGGTAAATCCGGCTTGGACGAGTCGGTTGAAGTAATAGTATGTGACTTTCGACCCAGTGAGCTCGGGGATCTACAGACCAGCTGCCTGGAGGCGAGGCCACGACTGCTCTGGCGAGGCAGAGTAGCCTTCCTGCGCGTGGAGGGGCGATTCTCTCGCTTGGCAAATCAGAAGGGTGCGTGGGAGGTAGGGTTTCCCTTTTTCCACCGTGCTTTCCAAAGGGGCGCAAAGCCCGTGGACATGATATCATGCCGTTCATCGGCCTGGCAGGCCCACACCAACCAGAGAGACGGGGAAGCACGGCCTTTAGGATGAGAAAGGGGATTTGGTTGCTTGGCCATCCATGCTCTCCAATCCCGGTATTCGGCTCAAGCACCGCCGCGTCTGATACGTCCGCCGCTCAAAACAGTTCACGTGCGTCGTGATCACGGTGAACCCGGGTCTCGATATGCTTTTCCAATAACCGCATCAAAGTCACGACTGGGTGTCTATCGGGGTCAACAGTATGGTCTCTGAAAGATGATTTCCGAATCCTACAAATGAGCAATTTGGCGGTCCTACATATGTCACGTGACTATACTGCTACTACTAACACCATGGCGTTCTCCAAGGCTCGGTCGACGTACAATGGACCATCTGGCGATGGCTGGCGGAGGTAGATATCTTCCAGCCCGGTTGAGGGGAACACCGAGAGCACGTCGGGTATAATCCTGACTTGTAGTCTTGGGATAATCCGCTGTCATCTCCATCTCCCCCTTGGTTCGACGCCGGGAGGGCCCCTGGACTGCTTGCAAGGGCCCAAAGAGAAGGGGTTGCTTGCGGAAGTCTCCATGACGAGGGACCGGAACTAAAGACGCTAGCATTTATAACGCCCAGGGGTTTCCCCACGCCACTCGGGAGCTAACGATATACAGGCCCTCCGAGACCAGGAGGATCGAACCCGGTGTTCATGTTTCCATCTCGGATCAGACTCTCCCACACGTGTGTCTTGATACCGGGGGGAAGGGGGTTGTGCGAATGAGGGAGAAATAAGGCCCCTCCCGCAACCGACGTCGGTCTGACGGACGTTGGGACACCAGGGATCCGAGACTGAGGGCCGGCAACCCGCCACGACCGACCTGAGATATTCGGGGCGGCAAAGCGGTACCGGTTCCTGTACGCCACCGCCGCCGCATCTGCGGTCTTGCTTGCCCTGCCGGCGTTATTAAACCCTTCTGCAGATCCGAACTCTTCCTGGAGGAAAACAGGAGGAACCCCCTCTCCCCAACCCCCCTTCCGCTCCAGACAAAGAAGAAAAGGTTTCGTAACATAGGCTCGTCGTTGGTGCCCTGTCCCCGAACGTGACCAGGAAGGCTCGGCTCCGCTTTTGTACGTAGGAGATACCCCACCGTGAAGGGTCCCCGGTCACCTTCGGCACCGGACAAGACCTTCGAGCCTGATACCCATACTGAACAGGCGGGGAGAGGGGAGAGGCGGCGGATGGAAACAGAGCACATGCTCCCCCCCCCACCTTTCGGCACACGCCGTCCACGGGTTCCCGGATATGCGCGCCCGACGCCCAGGGCAGGACCAGGTGAACCAGCCAAGCCAAGGAGTGAGGGGGGTCCCGCAATCGCATATCGAGAATACGGTGAGACCGAAGGCGATGGGCACACGGCTCTTACATGTAAACATTGGTTTAGCCCTTTCGTGGAGGACGCGATTTGACATGACCCGAGCGAAAATGGGTCTTGGGGACGACGCGCAAGTTCGATTCGTACTCGAAATGGAACGTGGGATGCGAGTTGCAGCAGTCACATGCACCGACGTCACATGCACCGACGTCACAGCACATCACGGTCGCATTACTCAACCACTATCCATAAGGGCTGGACGCGCAAGTTTTCGGTTGTAGAGGTCAAGAATACTGTCAATACTCGCCTCTTGGGGAGGAAAAAAGGCCTCCACCCCACCACTGCTCCACTCCCCAGCCAAGGCCACAGCTGCTGGTGGCTTTGATACCTTTACAAGACTACCATTGTGCTTCTCAACGCCCACGAGCCGTGTCCCACGGCAGCCTGAGCATTCTAATTGAAACTCCGGCCCCCTGAAAGTGCTTTTGTGTTGTCTCCGTTCCTAATGATGGAAAGGCTGAAAATAGAAAAAGAAAAGGTTATATCGGCGATGGGTCTTTGTCCGGAATCGTCTCTTCGTGATACAGAAGCATAAGAAAAACGGATAAGATGAAGAGGAATTTCAAATTACACATGCGGGCCAGTCTGCATTTCTTTGGAATCCTGCTGCTGCAATCAATGCTCGAGAAGAAAAGGGGCCATGCTGTCGTTGACGGAGAATCGAAAAGTCATAAAGCGTACAAAAGGCCGTATCGACATCCAAAGTCGAAATGCTATAACGCCACGAGGCTGATATCGAAAATCGTGAGATGTGTTTTGCCGATGGAAACAAAGTCGTCTTGTTGTAAAAAGAATATTCCAGATGAAAAACTTGTGCCCACATTGCCAGGTTAGCGAGGATGGGATAACGCCTGGGTCGGCTGAATACATTGCTGCCGGGCACCGCGCTGGCCCCGAACCACAAGTGAGCACTCTGTACGCAGCCGGGACAATACCACGTGTGTTGGGGCTGGGAGGGAAAACATCGTCGTAGCCGGTGGTGGGCCCAGCCCGAAGTACGAAGCTCAATAAGAAGAAGGGCGAGCAACGTTTGTTCACAGGATAACGCATCGGTGGCCGTCGGGGCGTTTCCGCCTTCGGTTCTTCCGCTTGGCGAAGCTCATAAGGCCGGGGTTCTTCTCGTTTTCGTGCTCGTCGTCTTCATGGGCGGTCTGGTTCTGAATCTTCTCATCCTTCATGAGAAGTTGACGACAGATATCTACGAAGACGGCATCGACGTTGGCTGGAAACCGAGTCAGCTAGTTGCCACCAAGTAGACTTGACGCGTCAACCCGTCATCGACTCACTTCGTGTCCTGGCGCTTGTCTCATAGTAGGGTGCATCCCACATCTGCGAGCACGCGAAAGCTCTTTGTCTGGGTACAGATCGCTGCTCCTCCAGGTCGGCCTTGTTGCCGACGATGACAATGGGAACGTTGTCGTCGTCCTTGATACGGGTGATTTCCTCGCGCAGCATCTCGATCTCGGTCATTGACGAGGACGAGGTGATGCTGAAGACCAAAATGAAACCTTGGCCAGACTTCATATACAGATCACGCATGGCGACTGCAAGCAAGGTTAGGGGAGACGATTGGCGAGGTCCGTGTTCTGCTTACCGAACTGCTCCGTGCCTGCAGTGTCAAGGCTGCGTCGATTTGTCAGATACGTTGCCTCAAGGCGGCGAGCACAGCGTTGCTACTCACATTTCCAAGACGACTTGCCGTCCCTATGCATGAATCCAGTAAGTAATTCGTCGTAGTAAGCGGTGTTTGAATAAGATTAACTCACGTCCACCTGGAGCTGTGTACGGTAGGTGTCCTCAATGGTGGGATCGTAACTCTCGATCCACTCATTGTGGACGAATTGGGCTATGATGGCGGTTAGTTCGCCGAACCATTGATAGCAAGCTGCTCCGAATGATGCGCACCTGTCAAGCAGCTCTTTCCAACACCTCCTAGAGGGGAATCAGCGGATTGCGCACATGACGACATGGTTTCTTTGTCGCCGACTCACCAGCGCCCAGTACCACGACATGGAGCTCACGACTAAGAAAAGGGTCAGCTTGCACTTCTCTCAATGGCAACCAACGGTAGGGAACCAAGCGGGAGCTTACCATGACTGGAGATGTCTGTTGTTCTGGCGTGACATGACGTCTCGTGGAGGGAGCTGCCGTTGCACAGTAAGACTGGCTCTGTGTGTGCAGGATGGACGGGGTTCGAATGAGATGGAACAACGAGGCGATTTGGTCGGTCAGAGGGGTTTTGACAGCTGGTCGTCTTCCACTGAGGAAGGGCGGCCGGGCTGGTAGTAACTTCACAATCGGCGCTTCATGCGGCTAGGGATAACAACAAAACAACAGCAAGGTTGGATAGAGCGATGGCGAGACGGGTGCTTATGGCAGAGTGGTACTGAAGTCCAGAAGCCAGGTTGCGGATTCGAGGCTGCGGATTGCCGTGCAAATCCTTCTGTATCGGGGGTGGATGGGCGCGGTTTCCAGAGATGCAACAAGGTACCTGGAATGGACGAAGTAGAATGGCGGGGGTCCGGATGCAATTGTAGTTGGAGCGCAGGAGGGTCGAAGTTTGAAAGTCGGGGGCTCGGGTCAGGGAGCTCTGGGTCTGGCCCGTCCGGATTGATTGGAAGAGTGGGGACAATGAGACCAAGGGGGGCTAGGAGGGGGAAGGGAGTTTGACGGGGAACGGGGGACGAGCAGAAAATACAAACGCAGATTTAGCGATATGCGGGTTATCTTTTTTTCTTAATGGGGGAACAAGAGAAGAAGGAGAGTGGGCAGGAGTAAGAAGAGGAAAATGAGTGAAGAGGAGGAGTAGGAGGAGTAGGAGGAGGAGGAGGAGGAGGAGGAGGAGGAGGAGAAGTGGGAGGAGAGGGAGGCAAAAGAAAGAGAATAGAAAATGGACCACCACGGCCGCCCGGGGCAGGAAGAGAGTCAAAGTTCCCAACCAGTCCCTCTCTTTATTTCTCTCTCTATTCTCTTTGGCCACCCACCCAATTAAAGGCCGCCAGTGCAGCGGTTTGTTCGTCTTGTCTGCAAGGGCCTCGTGTGGCCAGGGTGCGCTAGGTAGATCGAGGTTGGTACTTTGTACCCTGGGCGCCCACCTCCAGTAACAGACCCCGTAAGCAGCTTGGTAGCGGTAGCGGTAGCGGTAGCGGCAACCCGTTGTGGGCGTTGTAGTAAGGGCAGGGACAGGACAGCAAGGTTGGAACGTCAAGCATGGTATCGTTCGTACCTACCCAAGGGAGTCGCCATTGACGAGTACGTACAGTCACTTGACAAAAGTCTGGGCTCAACCAGTACCCTCCCACTGGCGGAGTGAGCCTCTGTCATGTGACTGTACTTGCCTCCCAGGTTCAGAGGGAGGCGAACGAACCACTGCAGACCCAAGCGGATAACAGTGCACTACCAACTACGAGAGATGGATGACCAACAGAACATGGGTAGGTGGGGGTGTTGAGGTATATTTCTCTCTTCTTTGCTTCTTTTTTCTTTCTTCACCTCTGTTATGCTCTGCTCCCTTTGCCTCTGCGTTGCCAATACATGCCCGTACATGTAGACATAACTAGCCGTATTTGCAAGCACCACCCGCGGCGCATGTCAGCTTGGGTTGGTGGCTGTCCAAGGGCCCACCCCAGAGCAAGCCCACTAACTACCTAGTCAGTCGCACGTCTAGTGCATTAACCTTTCCTCAGCTAGCTTCATCTCCGCTTGCCGACTGCCGGGAGATACGGACTACTGCCGCTAGAAATAGCCGCTTGGGGGAAAGCAATGGACAGGAGACTGTGAAGCAGGCGAAGCAAAACACAGTAAAGCGACCCAAGCATCATGCGGTACGTGTATTGAAACCTCTTGAGCTTGTTCTTGCCCTGGAACCAGGGTAAAGCGAGGCGGCAGCGGGACGGCCACGCGAAGTGATGGCTACGGTCTCGCACTGCATACACAGCCGCCGTATTACATGTTACCGCTCTCGACAAGGGTGTCTGTTTGGCGGGAGAGGCAAAGAAACAAACAACGAATCGCGGCTGAGGTGAGTCGTGGTAAGTATCCTAGGCTTACAAGGCTTACAAGAAAAGTCATCTAGGCGAGGCGTATACGCTAGGTACGTGACAGGACGCGATGCGATGCGATGTAGGTGATACAACTGGTGACTGGTAGACAGATAGGCGAGTAAGGAGAAAGGAGAGAGGCTTACAACGCTGACGACTTGGCGGAACCCCGGAAAGGCATGTTGGTATGTATATCCTTGGCGACAAAAAAAATCAGGGAAGAGACGATAGAGGGCGGCTGTCGTATAGACGGGAAGCATAAGCTGGGCCGCTTTGGTACTTTATCACACGAGGAGGCATCAGCAGGCGAAAATGAGAGAAGGAGGGTCAAGAGTCTAAAAGAGGATCTGGAAATGAATGTCTCGCAACCTGTTGCTGGGTGTCTCCAAATATTAGAAGGGCTGACGCTACTGTCGGACGCTTGCGCAGTAGCTTCAACGTCGTTGGCGATCCCTGATCGTCTTCAGGCTGCGAAGGGAATAACACTCCTAAGCTGAAGTCGATGCTGGCCAAAGTCATTGGCGTCGTGTAGGTAGGTAGAGTACACGTGGTTCAATGTTTGAGCGTCATGTCGATGCGGGGGCCATTGTCAGTCCAATGTTCGTCTAGGGTGATTCGAGGAGGTAGTGCGTCCCAGCTCCAGAGGTTTCCAGCTTGGCCTCTCGGCTTCCTTATTCGTTTCCTCTTTCTGACCAGACATGAAAGCGTGCCGTTCAATGTGAGACCATAAAGATCCAATGGACACCGAAGTAGTCGAGTTTAGGGTTTCATATGGCACCCTTGGTAGGCGAGACCTCGAATTCCCGGCGATTAGAGAAGCAGGTATCATATACTAGCTCAGACGACGGGTACGGGGGTCATTGAGGAAGGAATGTCCAGAGTAACAAGCCGTGGGTTGATTACTGTTGGTTGGGCAGCGGATGGCGGAAAAAGGAAAGATGGTGCGGTCCCATCTCTTGGCCGCTTGAGGTTGAAGCCGACTGGATCGGCAAAGTCGTGTTGTGTGGTCTCTGCGAGCAGCCCATCGTGTCTCGGGCCCAGGCGCGCTATGGCCTAAACAGAAGTGCTGCGTTTGCCTCGGGGGGGGAGCGAGTGAAAGACGGGGCTCGATCCGAATCTAGCAAGTCTGGGTCAGGCTGCTGCCGGTTACCCAGAGCAGGACTCGAGTGGGATGCAGTGCGCACGTACATACATATCCGTAGATAGGTAGTACCACAAGCTCCTGCATTTGGCTATGGGGCTCGTGGTCGACCATCACATGTGGTGAGGTCCCTCTCCCAACTACCATGTGCCTCCAGTAGAGTAGGTAGTCCGTGAGCAGGCGGACTCATAGACTGAGGGGTTACAGCGGACGGTTTACGGACTCTCGAGGTGCTGCTGAACCTCTCACACGATAGAGACTGGGCTGCAATGGGGACCTGGCTGCTCTCGAGCCCTTTGTTTGGTTTTTGGTTGTTGTTTTTTTATGTCGGCACGAGATGAAGCGGATTTCAAGTCGTAGTGGATTGTCGAGAGGAGGCCGTGTTTTAGCGCACTTTGTTTCTGTTTCTGCTGCTCCTCGTCTCGTAGTTCTGTGTGTGGACACTCGATGGGGGAGAGGGGTAGGGGGGATATGCAGGTGCAGGTGCACGAGTGGATAAAACGGAAGACAAGAATAGTGTACAACACAGAACGCGATGCCGGTGGTGAGGTGGAGATGGGGACAAAGATGCAGATGGAGAATGCAGTCGAAGCAGAGACGTTAGTCGTCGCGGTGGAAAGTACGCCTCACTCTGGTATCCCAAACAGGAGACTACGGCTACCATTCCTTCCCTCTCCTTTCTAAGGCTTCTGTTTCTGTATCTAGGTACTTCCATCCATCCTTCTTTCCTTCCCAATGCACGCCGAGCGTCATGCTCTTTCCCTGATCTAGGTAGGTGTCCTATGCGACCTACTTTACCTACCTATGTCATGCCATGCCGTCGTTCCATCCGGTCTCAAACGACTGACTGTCACTGCGTCATTGATCCAACTCCAGTTTTTCCTTCCCTGAATTACTAGCCCAAGTACTTTGCACTTCTTCAACCGCCACCGCCTGGCACCCACGAGTCGCATCTCTTTCGATGCCCTTTGTCGTGCTCTTATTGTACGAGGGTTAGCTTCGACCATGGCTCATCTTCCCTCCTCACGCAATGTCCGACTCCCACATGTCCCAAGCTTTGGGAGCCTCGCATCACCGCTCTCCTACCTAGTATCGTCAGAACATGGATGACAAAGGCACACTACGCTCGTGCCATTTCTCTATAGAAGGCCACGGGCTCTGTGTCCTCCACACCTTTCTAGCACTAAACTTGCACCTCGCACGCACGCATCACATCACACTTCTGCTCCGTCTTCAAAGCTTCCATCCTTGTCTCCCACAGATACCTGGCCAAGGACAAGAAGCACCTAAGCAATATAACGCATGCAGGTGCCGTGCCATTAAGGAATCCGCCCTGCAGGTTGCACTTTCCCCTGCATTGCAGCCTGTCGGTGTCAACCCAGGGGTAGGGCTTGTATACACCTTGGAGAAAGGCCGAGTTTGATGTCCGATGCCACGCAAGCCATGAGGGTTCTTCCCATCATCAGTCCTTCGGCAGCCGCTCTTCATTCATTTCCCCGTCCAATGACTGCGGGTAACGAGTATCGCTTCAACCAGAACCGTAGTTACCACCCCTTTCTTCTCCCCGCCTCACCCTTCGAGTTCTCTCTTGTTACTCAAGAACGTCTGCCAACCAACACAAACCGTCAGCATGGCTCTGGGATCCACGAGATTTGCCTGCAATGAGTGTGCTTGGGCGACGACAGTTTACAGGTTTATCTACATGTTGTACTCTCTTGTGCACCTTGGGAGACGCGTCTGCTGACCGTGAGTCTGGGCTGAGACGGTGGCCATGATCATCCATCAACCGCTGAGTGGTCTCCGATCCCAACCGTCGTAGCGTCGTAATCGTTTCTAAACCCCTGGCCCAATAATAGCCAACCATTCCGCCAGCTTACACTGAACACCCAGGATGGACGACTATGTTAACCAACTCCGAGCGAGCCTACATCATATAACGATTTGG